GGTTCAGCCATATTAAATGAAATATCATACTACGGAATTTATGTAGAATGGACCTAATTGTTAATTCATTGCCGCCACGAAATCATTTTATATTATGAAGTGAAAAAATGCGCGATATATATTCTTTAAAAAAAAATAATTATTGTATATTAAAAATCGCGATGAAACAATAAAGATTTCTGTTTGAGAAATGTATATAAATTGCACAAAATATTTGCCTATTCTAATAAATTACCATCGTCTCGATACGTTTACAAATCGTTAATTGCTAAAATTAATTAATTGCGCGAATGAATAATTGTAATGATAGCGAGGAATAATCGCGTTTAGCATCTTTTGGTACTTCTCGCAGTCGCGTTTTTCTCGAGAAATAATGCGGAAATACAGTAAGCGAGTATGACAATATAGTGTATTATATGTATAAGTATATATAATATTATATAATATAAAGTGTATATTGTAGTAAGTATCGCAAAATTCGGTGCTTGTATTTTGCGACGTACATGTAGCGCGTAGTCAACAACAAAGTCACCTTGTTGCCATTCGTGCGGTGACGCTCGAGCAAGCACGTAGTGGCGTAAGTTTCGCTCCGTATACCTATATCATCGAATTATTACCTATATCCTCGAAAAATGATAGTATTATGAAATGCTTAAAATGTAATCATTACTTACGTTTATTATAATCAACGATTATTAGTTCATTCGATCAATAATTAATTCCTACGATAAACAACATGTAAGAATTTCGCGACGACGGCTATTTATCAAAGCATGTATTTCGTTCGATGTGCTTTTTTTTAAATATGGATATAGATAGGGAATGACAATTTTAAATTATTGTTTAACTTCTATATTTAAGGAAATAATTATTTTCTTGAAGCTTGAATTTTTGAATATATATTTCGCATCGTATTTTGAATTTTAATTTAAATATAATAATCTCGAATCTGGAAAACACGTAGTAATACACAAATTATTAAATCGAAATCGAGTAAAGAAAAGCCGTGATATACCGATTATTAATAGTACATTTATTTATTCCGATCCACGTGTTCGAATTGTATCGGGCGTGCAATATTGAACTTTGATTGTGTATTTTCGAACGCATTTTTTAATTGACTGTTAACTTAATTCATATAATATCGCACGGTATCAAAATAAAGTGTCGATGTGTAATTTTCAGTCATTAATAAAACATTACGGATACGAGAGGAATAAATAATCAAGAAACATTGTATTTAATTACGCATATTTGCTATTAACATCATAATAAAAATTTATTAATCCTTTACCATAAATTTATTTATATATCATCGTAGTTCGTCAAACCATATATTTTGCAAGATTTATTCGATCGCAATCAGTCGTGCAAAGTATAATTAATATATTTTCTAACATAGCGCGATCTTTATATCCTGCTAATTAGTGTACGCGCGATCGTAATTAACTGTCTTTGCGCGTAAATATTGTGAGTGCAATGAAGGAGCCAGTAAAAAACAAAAGGATAAATAAGAGAGGAGGAGCAAGCTCGAGAAAGCATCGGGCAACGACGGAGCAACCGTGGGGTAAGAAATTTATAATTTAATTAATTAATTATTTGTCGTAAAAGTAAATGCTCCATCTTTGCGACAATGATCCATTTTGTATTATTATGTGATATATATAATGCGTATAAAAATATTTTTAAATTTTGTTTTATGACAACTTTAACATTTAATAAAAGATATTCATAATTTTTATTTAAGAAAAATGTAGAAAATATTTCACAATTTTTTAAGAGATTTATAATTATTATTCAGATTATTTTTATATATAACAATTAGATTATTATTTATCATATCTTATATTAATTTTTTTTTTCATGTTAGATAATATTTTTAAATAAATATCGGTTTAAAGGATAAAATAAATTTAATTGTGAGCGCAATAATTATGTATATTTTTTAATATTAATTATTTTGGACACTGCTATATATACATATATAATGTGGACATATTTTTTTATATTTTACAGATCAACGTTGTGTATACTACAACTCCGTCGTTGCGCATCGTACCCCGGTGAGTTTTAAAGTATTTTTTATTTTACATACACACAGCATACATACCTAAAATCGAGATAATCAGTTTGTTGAAATTATTTTAGATATATTGTAACATACGGTGAGTTTTAAAGTATTTCTTATTTTACATACACACATACATACCTAAAATCGAGATAATCAGTTTGTTGAAATTATTTTAGATATATTGTAACATACTGATTTATTCAAACACTATTAGAATATTTTATCGATATTTTAGTTAATTTTGCTTTTAAATTTTACAAAAAAAGTATTGTATGTAGATTTACTTTCCATAAATTCGGAGATATATTTTTCTGTAAAAAACATATATTTCGAGTTAAACAAAATCAAGATAAATTCTTCGGTCACTCACTGGCACACCCGCTGGTAAAAAACGTTCGAGAGAAGCGAGAGGTATGATAAAACAGTCACGGTCCAAAGTGGCCAAGGAAATTGGTTCGCCTCGCGGTGGACTGTTTCCAGAGACCACGAGGGGTGTGTAAGTGCCGGAAGCACGATTACCGCTGAAAGACACCTGCTAAAATGATAATACAATTAGAGAATTATATTAGATGTACACATATAACACGCGCTAATATTCGCGGATAAACGCTATGTATCGTAAGAGACTGCTCTCACATCAGTTTTGTGCACAATTAATATTTCATATTAATATTAAGTTTTTGCAACACAGAATGTGTATAAGATCAGTAATTAGATAAACGTGCGAAATATTATTTAGAACATGTGCACAAAATAAAAATACATTCAAGTCGGCTCTATCTTAATTGATCTTAATTGATATTTATAGTGATTTTTGCTTGTAAAATTTTTTATTTGATTGTAAGCAAGTGATATTTACTGACTCGATTATTTTGCAAATCAAAGTAAATAAATAATATATTTTGTAATCTAACGATCTCTTTAGTATATGATAATATCAATTTAATAAAGCAAGAAAAGTCTAAGGAAACTATTTTATATATTATAAATGTGAAGAAAGAAATCTTTAATTAAGATATATTTGTTTATTTAAATATCTTTAATATTCTTTAATATTTTATCGTAATTACATATTATAGTTTTATAATTCAGTTTGATGATAGAAACATTTTTGCATAAAAATTTTGCGTTTTTTATTTAATAGTACATATTCAACACACATATAATTTGAAAGCTAAAAGTTATTTCAGCTTGCTTACAACCGAGAGTTACTAGTACATTCAAAAAATTTTTAATGGTTAAAATTGTTTTTTTAATTTATTTTAAAATTGGATTTTTTTACATTAAAAATCGAATATACATCTAAAAATATTTACATTCTAAAATTTATCCTGTAATCTTAAGAGGGGGGATATGAATAATGACTTGCTCTTATAAATATTATAAAAGATATTTTTTGTATGTGTGTGTGGCTGCGTATAAATATATATTTAAAGATATTATATGAACTTTATATAATATTCTGCAACCGCTTTTTATATGCTAAAAAAATTTCTTCTTCTTGTGTTTAAAATGGTTGATATTGATTTATGAGGACGTAGATCATTATCGCAAGATTGAAAATAAAAGAGTTGGGATCTCGATATGTATGTATGTATGTGAATATAGATTCACGCGCATAAATAATAAACGCGCAGCAATAATAAACATGTCAAGAGATAATACGTGTTCGAATAAAATAAAAATAAGTTATAGGCGAAAAAGACATAGCGTGGCATGTGCACGTACGCGCTTCGCGTCTGACTCGACTCGTCTTTTACTACTTGCGCCCAAGCGCAAACGGTCACCATAGATAGGTTTGCTCGCTTCTTTCCCACCGTACATTTCACATCTTGGCTCTCGTAAGGCCTTACAGTTTTATAGTTCATGTACGCGCGATGCTGCATGATTTACATCGCATGTCAATTTTACAGGTACCCTCGGCGTTAGCGATTGATCTTACCGCCTCGTAATTTTTTATTCCTCTACGGCCTGGTAACGGTGAAATGTCGTTTTTTATAAAATAAGAATCGGATAGAATATACACACAGAAGAGATATATTTTAGAGATAAAATAATTTATTGCTACTTTTCTTAGGGTACAAAAAAATTTTAATCTTTATCTTTTGATTATATTATATATATTCCCTTTAATCGATAATTTTAGTAGAGTTCTTTTAATTTTTTGCTATAATTATGAAATTTTTCACCTTTGCTATGTACATATCATGATATGAATATCACTGATTTTATATACTATTCTAATGTTGCGTACATGTGGTAGAAAATACTCACAAAATGTACACATCATTAATGTATTGTGCGAAATGCACATATGCAGGGAAAAAAGTGACAGGATCGATAACAATTTATATGTTGTTTAGCGTTTAAAAATAGTGTGTCGGATAACGCAGTAGTAACTGCAAGGATTTTGCTTGCATTCTGTTTACACGCACAGCACGCAACTAGATGTACAATACGTTTGTCTTTACACTTCTTCCACTAAATTTATTTGTTCTTATAAAATTTAAATTACTTCCAAATATACAGCCAGATTATTTTAATATAATATTTAATAATAATCGAAATATAAAATAGCAAAATAAAGTAATCTCATTATCTAATAAGAAACAAACTCATATATTGTATTCTATTGCGATATATATGTATACATTCGTTTGTAATATCATGCATTATTATCTCTAAGCAAATACACGCACGTACGCGCACAAACATAGATATTAAAAAGGCCGGATGTTATGTACATGTTATATATGTATATATTATGTGTGTATTAATTAGCACGACTGAGATCGGCCACCTATTCAAAAATAATAGCTCCACTAGGACGCGTTAACAATGCCATTTTTTTCCCTCGACATATTAAAGGTGCATACAGATTAAACAAGCGCTTATGATCAGTTATCTATAATCAGACACATGCACATTTGCTCTATGTCAACGCGTTATCAAGCATTCTGCACATTTTCTAGTGTGTTTTCTCAGAAGGTAATATACTTCTTGAGAATTATTATAGCTCGAGAAAATTGATAAGATAACGATAAATAAGAATGTTTAAAAATCGAAATTGTACAAATATAATTTAGTTTTTTTTTCCGAGTAAAATTTACACCGATATAAAAAATAAAATTTTGTCTATTAATTTCATAAATATAATTGCAGTTTGAAATTTTTTTCCATAAATTGAATTTGCGATAGACAAGTAAAATACCGAGCTCTATAAATGTCTATTGTATATTATTTTTAAATAAGCGAAGTATGTCGCGAGTTTGAACATTGACAAATCGTACTCATTTCGTTTATAGAATGCGAATTTATTAGAAAGCGAACTTTCGCGTTTCATGTTGCAGTAAGGTAATACATAATTCGCATGCGATTCTCCGCATTGAAACACATTTTTTACATTTGCGTATGCAAATACGCGGAGAAAGTGCCTAGTGTTTTGATATTTAATCGTGTTGCATCGCAGGTATACACGACGGTAAATGTTCACGGTACGCATTGTAAAGGTCAAAGATCGTTATACGACACTGCGGTCTTCATTAGAGCGTAAAAGTCGCAGCAATTCTTCAATTGCGGATTTCCGCACGTAATATTTTTCATGCTGCACGTTCTTTTTAATCACGCAAGAAGTATAACAAGGAATTTACTATTTCACATATGTCGTTTCATATTCTTTCAATATTTGTTGTGCATCAATTTATTTCTGCATTTGATCGTAATAATTATGCACGTTCTTTTTAATCACGCAAGAAGTATAACAAGGAATTTCTAATATGGAACTATTTCACATATGTCGTTTCATATTCTTTCAATATTTGTTGTGCATCAATTTATTTCTGATATATACTAAGTAATGCGACTGCGGCCCGAAAGTGTCTCCTCTTGTGTGTAGAATACGACGTACTAACCGTTTGTGAAGAGACATCACGATGGAATGCGATATGAGGGGATTTTGAGCAGGGCCGATAGCGAGCAATGAATTAAGTGTCGAATACTAGCACTACGGCGAATTTATAACACGTTTTTGAATCCACCATGACGCGCAATAAGATAGCGACTTTGCGTGTTACGGTGCTAGGTGTTACTTTATGCCACCCCTCTTATAAATGATCTACATATTTCCTCCGTAACTTTACTTTATTCTTCGCTATCTGTGGGATGGCCCACTTTAAACTAATGACGATATAGCACTTGATTCTAATAATAACGGTGGCAATTGAACGTAATTAATTTCTGTTAAGAAACTTGATATTTATTATATTATATCCAGCTCATTTTTATTAATGTTAATTTTTATTTTTTTGAAATAAAATATTATAAAATAATTTTATCATAAAATATACGAGTCATAAAATTATTTATAGATTCAAATAAAAAAACATATGTATAATATAATATGTCAATACAAATTAAAAAAGTTATTATTGTGTTTAAACATAAAATAGAAAATCGTAAATCGTAAATTAAGCTTGTTTCATATCATATACTGGAGCTTTTTATCTTTGATGGTAATTTAAGAGTAATCAACTATTTACATATCTATAATGCATCGCTATGATTCGGTCGCTAGGAACATCCCAACTGCAACACATTCATCTCTTGAATCAGATAATTTTAATGTCACGATTGCGAATTAAATCTGTTCCTCATCATTATGATCGATTGCAAAGGAAATTACTATAATTAGGGTTAATTGCAGAATATGTATATACAACATTAGTGCGGCGGTTTTCTGCGCGTGACATTAAGAGATAAATTTGCTTGATAGTTGATTGTATTATTTTATATCATACGCCGCAATCAATGTTAACTAATGCTACTTTTTTTTTTAAATTTCTTCATCAATAGATAAATTAAGATGTACATTTCTTTCTGAATATCTTATATATTTTATCATGCAAACTCAATTATGCATCTAAATGAAGGATCCAGACAATTTTTTGTGAATGAAGAAATATTAAAAAAATCGCTCATCAAGTTTTTTTCCCTGGATCTTTCACAAATTCGTTTGAATTATCAATTATATACCTACCTGCCTAGACGCAGTCGGGGTCGGTGGATCGGAAG